TAGGGTGTGCTTAAAAATAAGTGCTTATTTGAAATAAGTTCTTATTTGGGTCAGGACCACACCATTAAGCACTTATTGGTGTTTAGGAAATAAGTGTTTATTTTAAAAATAAGAGACTTTTTAATCCTAAATTTCTAGTTTTTTTAAGTGTTTATATAATAAGCACTTATTCAATTTTTTCTTTCAAAATTATCCCTAGTTGAATTTTAAAATACCACTTATAAAATTATCCCTAATTAAATTTTATAAAAGTACTTTCATAAAAGTACATCCATAAAAGTATTTTTGTAAAAGTGTTTTGATTAAAGTGCTTTCATAAAATTACTTCCGTAAAAGTGATTTCATAAAAGTACTTTCGTAAAAGTGCTTTTATTAAAGTGTTTTCATAAAAGTACTTTTTTAAAAGTGTTTTTGTGTGCTTTCATAAAAGTTTTTTATTCGTAAAAGTACTTTTATAAAAGTGCTTTTATGTGCTTTCATAAAAATGCTTTCATATAAGTACTTTTATGAAAAGTGTGTTTACATGAAAGCATTTTTATGAAATCACTTTTACGAAAGCACTTTTATAAAAGTGTTTTATTAAAGTGCTTTCATAAAAATGCTTTCGTGTAAACGCACTTTTCATAAAATTACTTTTATAAAAATATTTTCATAAAAGTGCGTTCATAAGTGTTTTTATAAAAGTAATTTAATAAAAGTATTTTCATATATTTTGAAAAAATAAAAGAAAATAATGCTCAGTTTGGAAGGAGTACAAATACAAATATGTAGAGTGCAAAACTTTGTATTTTGTATTATTTTGGATGTATTTGCACTATACATATTTGCATTTGTACTCCTTCCAAATGAGCCTTGTAAGGAGTACAAATACAAATTTGTAGAGTACAAAATGTTATATTTTGTATTATTTTGTATATATTTGCACTGTACTTATTTATATTTGTACTCTTTCTAAGCTGAGCCTTTGGAAGGAGTACAAATGCAAATATGTAGAGTATAAAACCTTATATCAGTATCAATATAAATACAATAAGTTGGGATATGTACGAAATAAGGCTTGAGAAGATCTGTAAATTTTGATTTTTTTTTTTCTTTCAAATTACAAGAATGCCATTTTCTCCTACCAACTCTCTCTCCCTTGCTTTTTTCTTTCAAATTACAAGAATGCCACTATTTCTCTCTTTTGCTTTTTTCCTTGCAAATTACAAGAATGTCACTCTCTCCTACCAATTCTCTCTCTCTTTCCTTACAAATTATAAGAATGTCACTCTCTCCTATCAACTCTCTCTCTCTCTCCTTATAAATTACAGGAATGCCATTCTCTCTCTTGCCATCTCTCTCTCTCCTTATAAATTACAAGAATGCCACTATCTCTCCAACTAAGGGAGACCTCAGCTCGACATCTCGACTATTAGGGAACCTGCAATCAAAGGTAGTCGAGCTCGAGCTCAAGTCTCTAATTCGAATCGAGCTTGAGCTAGACGACACATCGACCAAGATGACACCTCGACCATTGAGGGAGACCTCAGTTCGACACCTCATCAACTAAGTGAGACCTCAGTTCGATACTTCAGCAGTTGAGGGAGACTTGGCTTGGCACCTCGGCTACTAAGGAGACCTGCAATCAAAGGTCTCACAAGCCTAATCAAGTATGCACATAAGGTGTCACCTCGTCTCGGCACCTTGGTCACTGAGGGATATCTCAGCTCAGCACCTTGACAACTGAGGGAGACCTCAGCTTGGCACCTTGTCAAATAAGGGAGACCTCAACTTGACACTTCAACAGTTGAGGGAGACCTCGGTTTGGCACCTTAGCAATTGAGGGAGACCTCAGCTTCTTGAGAGACCTGCAATCAAAGGTAACCGAGCTCGAACTTCCGAACTTTTGACTCAAGCTGAGCTCAAGCTTGAGCTCAGGCCTGATAGTTTATGAGCGAGCCCCTATAATGCAGGGGCCCTTCCGCTAGTTTTATATTATTTTGTATGCATTTACACCGTACATATTTCCATTTGTACTCCTTCCAAAGAGTACGTTTAGAAAGAGTACAAATACAAATATGTACCACGCAAATACATAGAAAATAATACAAAATATAAGGTGCTTTACTCTATTTGTATTCCTTCCAAACTAAGACTAAAGGTTTTGTTTGGAAACGACGTAAATGCAGATTTGTAGCTTGTAAATCAACATTTTACCGGTTTCAAAAAATACAAACCGATTCGCTTTTGTACGTTTGATTTCCTCTCGTCTCATTTGGCATCAACGATGTAAAACAGCAGTGCACTTTTGCTGGTATTTGGAAACTTATAACAATGTAGCCAGAAAACTGCCTTCCCGTCTTCATAGCTTATATCAAAGGCCGTTCAGGTGATGACGTCTTCGGTCTGGAACCAATCAGAAACTTCAATATCCACTTCGCTGGAATTAGACATTTCTGACCACTTATCTTACATCTCCACCACTCTTTCCCATCACCGGTATCAAGAGCTGATCAGAACACAAACAGAGATTTATGACAGTAATGGAAGAAATAAAGCGCGCTGAGAAAATTAAATGGGTGTTGATGATGGAAAATGGGTTAGTCATTTCTTTTGTTGTTTATGAATTCCTTCTGGAGTTACTTTCAGGTTCTCCATGTGGAAGCTTGGTGAGAAGATCAGGGTGATGATTTCTCGAATGAGGTCGGGATCAGTGACTGTGAGACAAGGTGTAGGACTAAGACTGAACCTTACAAGGTTGCACCTACAACAAGCCAGAGTTACCATGTCAAATAAAATGGAAAAGATTATAGAGAAGAAAAGAACTACAGTGCACTAAAAGTAGTATATATTGCAGCAGCATTGAAGAAAAAAGAAGCTCCGCAAACAAAGTAGGTAACCTTACCAGCACGGGAGGTCCGTCGTTGTTCTCTCAAATCTCAAATTCTCAATCACCTAGATCTCAGACGCTCAAATCGTTTGATGAAATATTACTACTGATCAGATCTCAGATGCTAGAGACCGAATGTATCACTTGTCGATGGTAGATTTCATGAATCGGAACTAGCCGTCACACAGTGGCACCGATGAGTTCTGGTGGATGAGGGGGTAAACTCTGTCTATTTTCCATCGATGAAAAAAAGGCATGAATATTTACTTCGTTAAAATCGAAGGAGCTTTTCACCTCAAGATCGAAGTAAACTCTGACAAGGTTGCAAGTTTACTTCGATCTTGAGTGTATTTTTACATTGTTTCCAAATATATATAAATCAGGACCGGGGTGCAATAATGCACCGAATCGGCATTTACACCATTTCCAAACGTAGCATAAAGGATAAAATAGTCACAAATGCTTATTTAAGTGTTTATTGAAAAAAAACAAAAAAAAAACTATCAAACGTGAAACGCCCAATAAGAAATAAGTGCTTGAAATAATTGGGTGTCAAATGCAAATACTCAATAAGCACTTATTTTTAACATAAACACTCCCAAACATGGCCTAAATTACTTTCCTGACTAAAAAGAAAGTTGCAAAATTTTAATAAAACAAAAAATGCCCATTAAAAAAGCATTAAAAAAAATACACACCTTAACAATGAAAATAGAAAAGTTTTACCCGATTAGAAAATAACACATGTAAATGCACTTACAAAGTTACATGGGTAAGTGATTTACTCAAAACAAGGAATGGGCCCTAGGTTAATGGTACTACATCATGAAGCCAAATGTAAATCAATGGAAAGGTGTGACATCACATGTGATGTCTTTAAACCAATGAAAATATAAATAAACATGTGATATCTTTAGGCCCTGTTCATTTTAAGGTAAGTTATTTATTCATGTTTTTTTATTTTTCAAGTAAATAGGGCAATAACCGTTTTAGCCATAAAACCCTTTATTAAAAGAGACATTTTTTCTTTATTCAAATGGCAATTTCTCTCAGATGTAAAAGTCATTTACCTGCCTAAGAAATAGATATCACTTTCTTTGGTCCCCACATAAATATAAAAAAAAAAAAAAAACATAAATTTTTTGGTCATTGAAAACCAAAATGCCATCTGTATTGATGCCAAATTAATAAATCTTGATATTTTTTGGTATTTTAAGGAAATTAAATAATTAAATTACTAAACAAAAGAGAATAATCAAATGGTGGTTTGGTTTACAAATTATAATAATTGCAAAACACGCTTACATTTGCATTTAAAATTTTAAATATAAACTTTGGACTCAAAAAAAGGGGGTTCCAATCTAAGAATTTACATTTTACACCCATTACCAATAAAAATTGTTTGACAAGAAAGTAAATTCATCATCAAATAACTAAACCAACTAAATTTATATTTAATCAAAATGCACTCTACGTATTTATATTTGCACTTTTCGCAAATGAAGCTTGAAGGATTAATATGACTGTGTAATGTAAAGCGTACAGTGGAGCCGAAAAGTCGCAAACTCCATCTATGCTATATTACCCCCGAATCACCTGTCAATCTTCTCATGGTAGAATTTTATAAGAAGGAGTAATCCATAAAAAGTTAAAAACCCCTAATTTAAATTCCCTTAAATCTTACATATAGAAGTTAAAAGGGAGAAGGGGCAGCTTCCGCCTTCGGACGAGATGGGGGGGCTTGGATTCCTATTGTGTTCTTGAATTCCAAGTAACCAATTCTCTTTAGTCTTTTGTCATGATGAAATGGGAACGGTCTCACCGTGATAAACTCTCTTGTTCAATGTTCGCTGCTCATTGACTACATAATTGAAAATCGAAATGGCTTAGAAGATGAACAGGAATCAGGAGGGTCTCCTTCTCTCTCTCTCACATACACACGCACAGTGAGAATCTGATCATCATCGCTATCGTGTAATTTGCAGCATGGAGATGGGAATGGGAGAGAAAATTAGAAATTTTATAGTTTTATCATATATATATATATATATATATATATAAACATACGATAATTGTAGCCTTGTAGGTAGTAAGTAAGAAGATGAGATTGCAATTTCATGACAGCGAAGCAGAAAAGTGTGATATTTTTTAGTATCGCCATCGGCATGTGGTTGTGGATCCCACATCTACCACCCACCTTTCTCTTCTCATTCTCATCTCATCTCGCTCTCACAGTCACTCACTCTCAGACGACTAGACTCACCTCACCGGTCTCCTCTCTGTGCTGTGGAGACCGCAGCAGCTTTTCTCCACTCCCAATCTCCCATGCTTCCCATGTGCGACATTGGCCTTGAATTTATAAATCAAAGCTCTAATAAGCAATTCTACGTTCTACCAAAAAGTGGCTCTGTGTCCTTCCCCTTTCTTTTTTATTTAAATTTAAAGTCTCCAAATAAAATATCTCCTTGCTCTGTTCTGTTTGGGGATTTCGGCTCGCTTCTCTTCTCTTATCTCATACTAGTATTCCATTAACAATCACTTTCCTCCCATAGCCAAGATTAGATTTTTCGTTTTCTTATTTATAGTTTAACTCTACACGATTTCTTATTTTTCCCCTTTTTTTTTATTTCCTTTCCATTTGTTAATAATGGATCAAAACCCTAATAAGTCAAGAGCCACGCAGAGCATCATCCTTTGTGATTTCTGCAACGAAGAGATCGCTGTTATATACTGCAGAGCTGACTCTGCTAAGCTGTGCTTGTTCTGCGACCAACATGTCCACTCCGCTAACGCCTTATCCCGTAAGCACCTCCGTTCTCAGATCTGCGATAATTGCTCTTCCCAACCCGTCTCTGTCCGCTGCTCCACCGATCATCTCGTTCTTTGCCAAGATTGCGACTGGGACGCCCATGGCAGCTGCTCGCTATCCGCCACACACGAGCGTTGCCCGGTTGAAGGGTTCTCCGGCTGCCCTTCGGCGCTTGAACTCAGTTCTATTTGGGGGTTCAATCTTGCCGACAAGAAGCATGCCATGCAACTGCCGCAATCGCAGGTTTCGCAGATGGGTAGTGACAATTTCATGATGTTCCCGAATTGGGGTTCCTTGAATTCGGTTGTTTCGGATGATTCTTGGGTGTACAAGTCTGCTGCAATGACTCTTCAGGATCTGATGCTGCCCAGTGAGAATGGTAACAGCGGCACTTCCATGTACCCGAGTGTTCCTAGTGCCGATATTCCGCTGTTGTCGAAGAAGCTGAGTTCTAGTTGCGGCAAGCAGACCCAGGTGATATTTAAGCAGTTGGTGGAGCTGCTTAAGCGGGATCCGGTACGCGGTGACGGAGGGGGAGGTGGTGATGGACTGGGTCCTGGGACACCTGCCCAACAGAGCAATATGGAAGATCTGGAGTTGCCTGATGGAGGTGATGGAGCTACGGATGCCACTCAATTGTTGCATCAGCAAACACCATTTACGTCTTTGCTTATGTTGTCTACTCGGATGGATCTAAGAGAGATCAACAATCGTCTCATCGAAGATAATATTCCCTGGGATTGCAACCCCTCTGACCAGGCAGCGCAGGTGTAATTTCATGCTCTTGTTAACTCGTCATCTGTTACGAGTTCCAGTGATACTTGGCTTGCTTTATTATCTTCTATTTTTCTATAATTGTTCATTCTCTGGTTTAACTATATGGGTTCTTGAATAATTAGTAGATTTTCCTCTCTCACTCTTTCTCTCTCTCCCCTCCTCTTCCTCCTCCTCTCCTCTTTGCTGGCCTCCGATAGGATGAAGAATTTACAAAAAAAAAATAAATAAATAAGAAAAAGGAGAAAATAGAAACGAAAGCAAGCATCATGAGGAAAAAACTAAAATTTCCTTATCCAACCTATGATAGATGTTAGAAACATGGTTACATGGTGAATGTAATTGGTTTCTTTTTTTTTTTTTTTTTGTAATTACTGTCGAGGGCCATGTGCTGTCTTAGGATCCTTTATTATGGCAGTAACCAGTAAGGTTTTCTGTGTTAAAAATGCTTCCTCATCACTCTGAGATGCATGTTAAATTCTCGCTTGCCAAATGTCCTCTGTTAATTCATTCTTTTTATGTAACATGTGATCTACTGCAAAATGCCTTTTTCTCTTTTACTACCTTCATTTGTTTGTTTAGAGGGGCATGCTTAGTTTTCTTGGTTACCATCAAAAAGTAAATCCTTTGAGTCAATTTTATGGAATATTATGCAAGTGGTTATAACATGCAGCATCTGTCTCTTCTGGTTTTCGGAAGTTCTGTATTTCATTGTCACCAGAGAAGAATTATCTGCTGCTCAATCATTTTAGGAGAATTCGTTCAGTAACTTTATCCAGACAATCATGAAAGATTGTTAAGAACTGTATTCGACTATATGTAATATCTAGCATACCCATCATAGCATTTAGACCAAATACCTTTAGGCTCCCCATTATGTGGAAGTCAATTTTGTATTTCTTTACTTCCTTGCAAATATTTTTAGGGTTCCTTGAGATCCATTTCCTTTCTAAATAAAGCACATCCATTTGATAAAAGTATGTCCTTTGTGATAAAAAGTTTTCTTCCTTATTATAGGTATGGGATTTCAATTTAGGCAAATCAAGGGATCATGATGAGGCTGGCCCATTAGAAGCTCAATATGCTGCCAGTGATGCAGGATTTATGTTCAAGAGTTATCAAGACCTTATTAAGGAAACTCCTTTACCAGCTAAGAAGGTGTATGACAATATATACGACATCAGTTACTCCATGGCACATGACAATAAGTCATCACAAAATGTAAGCCACCCTAAAACCTGCTATGTTTATTTCTTTAATTGGAATGAATGTCCCAAAATCTTCATTTGCTTCTTGTTGATATGCAGCAGATAATTTACAGTCTGATGTGATGAGAAACATTGCAAGGGTAGCATTTCTAATTTGCACTTTTGTTCCTCTCTTTTTATCTTTCTGAGAGTGCAATACTAGCTTTCCTGTGTAGCATTTCTCATGTGCATCATTGTTCCTCTCATTATTATCTTTGAGAGTGCAATGATTTCTGCTCTGTACCATGTTCATGGATGGTACGCATGAGGGCTCTGGTCTAAACACTTTCTACTCAATTAGTCTACTTTTTCATGATGCACATTATAGTTATACCAATGGATGGGATGGCATGTAATTAAATGATACACATGTATGAAGAGTAATCAACCTTCTTTGTCAGACGAGAAGATGATCACCTTGTTTGGTGTTAAATGTGGAGATCTATTGCGTCTATGACATTTGACTGTTGTGCACAAAGTGGATTAGAAGGCTTCTTGCCCTTTATTTTCAGTGACATATGGTCTCAGTCCATATAATGTAATCGTCAGTACTTTTTCCGGAGCTTCATCTTATTCTTTAGAGCGGCAGGGTGAAATGTTCTTGGTTGCATTTTGCAGAATAACTCAAATAACCCAGCAGCAAGCCAAGGGCCAACAACATCTGAAAGCAATAACTTTCCATTGCGGAAGCCGTCTTCAAGTTCGAGTTTAGGTAAATATAAAACTTATAGTGGCACCAGAGATGTCGATTTCATGGAACAGTCTGTCTTTCTTAGAAGCGACACTCTGAAACCAGCAACAACTAAGGCCGACATGGAGCTTCTGGCACAGAACAGAGGAAATGCCATGCTACGTTACAAGGAGAAAAAGAAAACTCGAAGGCATGATCCACGTACTTGTACCATTTCCTTCCTTCTCCCACCCCCATGTTTGATTATATAAATCTAATAAACTTTTGCATAACTTGAGCTTACTTGCTGTTATCAGGTACGATAAACACATCCGGTATGAGTCGAGGAAGGCCAGGGCTGATACTCGGAAGCGTGTGAAAGGTCGTTTTGTGAAAGCTGGTGAAGCTCCAGATGTTGAAATAAAGAAGAGCTGAATGGATTTGACATTTGAGAATGAGCTACTTTTTGTCTTTTGCCTCTGTAAATATTTCTCTTTTTCTTTGTACGAAGATTACGTAAAAAAAGTTGAAGCAAATTTCCACTTCCCCTGACTTGAAGATTTCATATCTCCGCCCCACAGTTGGCGGGGATGTGCTGTGGGGCGGAGATGTGATCTCTTGACTTGAATGCCGTCCGATCTGATTAACTCTCTCTTTGAAAACGCCCTTAGGCATCATATTTCATTCGATTAAGAAATTGAAAAAAAAAAAAAGCCGATCAAGGCCAATCAGAAAACGCAGATACAATTTCTCAAAAGAATAAAATATAAAAATAGAATAAGGACGACATAAATAATAAAGGTGAAATAAAATCACCACCTACAATCACATTTTCAATTCATCATAAATTGCAAACGAATCTGACAGAATAGGTTTATAAAAGATTGCAAAGATTTTGTAATAGTATGATTGGAGAAGATCCGCAAAGGACGACAAAACTCTATACAGAACAATCGCTACGAAAGACAGTCACAAAATTGTCTTTGCCGAAGAACTACGAACGGAATTTACTATGAATCGCATCAGCATGAGAAACGCAAACGGACTCAATCATAAACGGTAAACGTGAAGCTACCTCCATCGGTAATGATCGCCCAATAAAAAGGAAGTAGGAACTTATTGTGTTGCATCGTGTGATGATGCTCATTTTGGCAGTTCCTAGCTGGTTAGTGATATAGATGTTTGGCTGAATAATTCTTACCTAGAAGGTGTTTTGGATGCTTAGCTAAACGGTTCCTATCTGAAAGGTGGCTTGATGCCTAACTGAATGGTTATTACCTGAAAGGTGGTTTGACGCCTAGCTGAATGGTGATGAACTAGAGAGGTGGCTCTGATACCTAATTGAATGGTAACGAGCTGGAGAAGTAGTTCTGATGCCTAGCTGAATGGTGACGAGCTGGAAAGGTGCCCTTGATGCGTAACTGAATAGTGACGAGTTGGAGAAGTGGCTTTGATGCCTAATTGAGTGTTAACGAGCTGGAAATGTGCCTTTGATGCCTAATTGAGTGGTAACGAGCTGGAAATGTGGCTTTGATGCCTAGTTGAATCTGTATTGTCCGGACGCACTGAATGAAGTCATGAAATTGGGAGTGTTCGATTCCAGGAGGGACCACAGATGGCTAGGAGAAAGTCGTGCCCACTGGGGAAGCGGGACGCTTACTTGAGTGTCCTGTGGTACAAACAGTGACGAGACTCCTAACACTGTAAGATGAATAGTAAAGTAGCCAATGCATACCGTAGGACCTTGGGGGAAGGTTGATTGCTGATCTTGCCCCTCAGTGACGTTCATCTTGATACTTTTTCCGGTGTTGCTGGAAGAGTGCATTGGGATAAATTGAAAAATAAAATTGCAACTAAAGTTGGGATGACCTTTCGATCGTTTACCACAGACGGCGTCAATTGATGACGCATGATTATTTTACTCACTAGCATTCAAACACTCAAGTATTCAGCTCGCATCCACAGTATATTACTGACTTAAGCATCGAAGCAACCTCGTCGAATCAGTTACCCCGGGTTCTCTGATCTACTATTTTACAGATTGCTCAAGCTCGTCACACAACTAAAGTTCGAATCATCTTCCAATTAAGAGTATATAGATCACGCACCATCACATCGTATTAGACAAAATTAGGAAGTAGGAACTTCTTTATTTCTCGTTAATCATAATGGTTGGGTTGGGTCCCTTCCTCAAGTGGGGCACAAGACAGAGGGAGAAAGGTTTGGCAGTGACGTGACTCTTTAATAGGACCACATGAAGAGAAAAAGGGTTCTCTCCGGAGTGAATCTAATCAATTAAAAGAGGGGAGAAGAAAATAGTTACAGCTTACAGTGTTGAAACATAAAATATTTTGGCGCCTTTGCAGTCAAATTTGCAGGGAAATTATCGAAGCTGAAGCCAAAATTTGGGTGTTGATTCTCGGCATCGGAAGCTTCAAGTTCTATTTCGCTGTAATCTTTCTTTATAGTTGAAACCCAGCATTGGGTGACGATATATTTATTGACCGTTGGTCTCTGGTGTTAAGAACTCGGTGTATTCCCTTTGTTTTTCATTATAGTGGAGAAATTTCTGGATTAGGTCATCTGGTTTTCCCTTCACCTCGAAATGTTTTACTCGTTAAAAAAAAATGGTGGCCTTGTGGTTACTTGTTTTTTTTTTTTTTGCTGTTGTGGTTTAATTGTTAAATGTTGGTGGTTGCCTATTCGATCTACACAAAAGGGGGGCGGGAATTATTTTTCTTGATTGTTGTTTGATGATATTTTGTATTTCCACGAATTAGTATCAGAATCTCGAGAAAGAAGTGGAAAAAAAAAAAGAGAAAGGAGCTACAGCAGTTGCATGTGATGGTGATGTGATCATCCTTTGTGATAATTTATGTTAATTTTGTATGCAATGACTCTATTTGGGCGGTTGATACCGGTGCTTCCTTTCATGTCACACTTCGGAGAGACTTCTTTCAATTCTATACAAGTAGTGACTTTGGCTTTAAAAAAATGGGAAATTGGCATAGAATGCAAAATTGTTGGCACGGGAGATGTTTGGTTGGAAATCATTATTGGATACAAATTGATTCTTAAAGATGTATGTTCATTTAATCTCCACCGGTCAACTTGGTGATTAAAACTATTGTAATTGCTTTGGTGATGGTAGATGAAGTAGGTGTTTGACATTAATGCCGTCTCCTCACAAAATAGTGACACATCAGTGTTACATCATAAATACGTTTTTTGGAAAATGCTTGCTATTTAGTTAGCCGTTTTTCGAAAAACATTTTCTCATATTATGCCTTTGAAATGGTGATATGGCATTAGGAAACTCCTTTGAAAACGTTCTTTTTGGTGTTTTTTCATGTAGCAACAATATGCTGATATGGCATTAGGAAACTCCTATGTGGCAGATGCAGCACCATTTTTTAAGAAAACGTCTCTCAAGAAATGGCATTGGTTCCAAACACTGTCGTAAACTCTCTAATAGCTCCTTAGCGTCTGATAGATTAAAGAAGAGCACTCGTTATGTGACACATGCAAGGCTTTGTAGAAAAAAGGTAAATGCAGTTGAAGATGGGTCTCATCATTCAGCTATAGGGATGTGAATAGATCGGATCGGATCGGATTCGAATCAGGGTATATTGGAATATGATCCAATAGAAGATCCGATTGGATCAAATAATACTCGATTTGAATTCGAATTCTATCGGTAAGTCGGATCTTCGGATCTGATCCAATCTGACTTGTTTTCTTTAAAAATTAATAAATTATTAAAAGAAACTTAAAATATACTAATTTAAATAAAGTTAAAAACAAAAATATAAGTATTTTTTAATTATTTTCATCATATATATACATGTTTTTTTATAAAAAAATAGATAATAAATTTATAAATAAATAAATAGCATATATATGTATTATATAAATATTTATATTTATAAATATATAATATATAATATATAATATATAACGGATTGGATCGGATCTTCTCAAATCGGATAGGGGTGATCCAAATCCAATCCAATTTCTTATCAGATCCTATTATCTAATCTGATCTGATCCGAAGGTCCAAACAGGTAGTGACCCAAGTTCGACCAAATAGATTTGAATCATGAAAAACGTTGAAATTGTTAGAGGACCACTAACCTAGATGGATGAACCATCGAACCATTTAACCTGTGCAGCGGTTCGCAAATTGAGGTTAGAAAAAACCTAACATTTGGCCACCAGTTTTCTGGGTCAATGGTTTAATTGTTCGGGTAAAACAGTTTTAACAGAGATTATCATAAATGTAATTATAAAAAAATATAATATAACTAAGTTGCATTACATACTTAAGAGGTAATCCTTGGTCACTATTGCCGCTAGGGGTGTTCAAATTTGGTTGATAAACCGAAAACTGAACTGAATCAAACTAAGTAAGCTAATTTGATTTGATTAATTCAGCTATGGGTGCGGTTCAGTTTTTATTTAAAAAAAAAAACGGTTCTCGGATTTCGGTTTCTATTTGATTGAAATTTTCAACCGAATCGAACTGAAAACCAAATTAATGTTGTTATTTAGTTAAGTATATTAAACATTAATGTTTTATTTTAATACTTTATGCTAATTAATTATTATATTTTCCAATGAACAATTAACAATAGTTAATTAAAACCTAAACTCATTATTAATTGTTTATTAGTCATTAATTATTCATTAATCATTAATTACTTTTGAAAATGGCCAATTTGTCAATTCCCCATTGGCATAGGGCTTTCGGAATATTTTACCTTTTAATTAATAATAGTTAATAATTAATTAATTGAAACCATTGGGTTGCGGGGCCATTTTAACTTTTCATTAATAACACTTATTAAATGCTTGTCATTTATGTGGACATAGGGTTCAATTGAACCAAATTCAGTTAGAATCGGTTTGGTTTTAAAATATAATTTGATTCAGTTCGATTAGAGAAAATGGTAAAACTGAATAATTAATTAGGTCTTCAATTTGAACCAAACCAATCAATTGTACACCCCTAATTGCCGCTAGACCTGCTATTGCAAATGGTGGTGCCACACACACACAGAGTTGGTCACCACTACAAGGAAATAAGAAATAGGAGATGACTGCCATTACAAGCCCAAGCCCTAGGTCGGTACCTCACCACTACAAATGTAATTCACCAGCATAAGGTTTAAACCGTAAACAGAGATTGGAGAGTGGAGATAGGGAGTTGATGGTCTCCTTTCTAGTAGAAATGGCAATAGAGCAGGTTTCGGGAGAGTTTTATAAATTTTAGACCCTATCCACCTCCCTAATCCTCCCAATCCGTACTTGTCCCAAAACCTCTAGTTGGTTGGATTTTGAAATCCAAACCCTCCTTGCACATGAAAATGCAAAACCCTCTCTTACCCTACCCTTCTCGCATGCAAGGGTAGGGTGGGTGGGCTTAGAACCCACATGTAATTTCCTACTATTTCATAGTATATATATGCAATAAATAAGTAAAATAACATGAACAAACAACAACATTTCCAATTATTTGATTAAGAAGTGTAAAAAACATAAACTATCAATTATCTTTCACATTAAATTTAAGATATTATTAAATTCAATACCTAATACATAAAATTCATATGCCTTCCAACAATATAAGGGTGGAGGAGGGTTGGATTTAGCTTAATATCATATCCTATCTATACAAGTTGTAGAATACCAAAACCCATTCCTATTTTCTTTCGTTTTAAAAATATAAAAAACTAGTCACTGCTTATCTTGATTAGATTAAGGGTAAATCTCTTAAACTATCCCTACTGTTTAGCGTATTGACACGTAGTACCCCTACTCTTTAGCTATTGTATTGTGGTACCTCAAGTTTTTTGACAATTGACTAGCTCTACCCCTACCGTTAATATCCGTTAATGTTCCGTCGAAATTCATACGCACGTGACACCACGTGATGTATAAATTTTTTCAAAACCCAAATTTTCCCTTCGGCCTTCTCCCTTCTTCTTCACCATCCCTCTCCCCGGCAGCAGCTACAATGAACCATCGCCACCGCTATCGCCGTCTGTATCCGACCACTTTCGCCGATGACTTCTTCAAATTTTCAAAATAAAACAGAAAAAAGGGAAAGAGATGTTGGCTCATCAAAACCCTAACCTTTCAAACCCAGAAGCTCCACTCTGTGGTGAAGACAATGTAGAGAAGCAAAAGAAGAGCAAGAACAGAGGAGCCATGAAAATGGAGGTAGAAATGTTCTTTTCCACCATGTTGAGCTCAGCTAAAAGCTCATCTGAACTCAACTTACCTTGAGTCCAAAAGGGTCTAAGAAGCAAAGCAGAAATAATGTTTTAAAAAGAAAGATGGGGGGGGGGGAGGGAGAGACTTTTGGGTAATCATGTTTTCCCTATTTTCTTTTGTTTTAAAAAGTAATCATTGCTTATATTGATTAGATTAATAAAGCTAAGAGAGACTTTTGGGTTTTCCAAGGCCTTTTATTTTAATGTATGTTACTAATACATTTAAGAGAGAGANAGTAGTAATAATAATTACTATATATTAAAATTTATAGTATTAATAATAATTGTAATATTTTTAATAATTAACAGTATTAACCGTATTTAATAATTAACAGTATTTTTAAATAATTATCAGTATTTATTAAAAAATAGTATTAAATAACGTATTTATTAATTAATATAATGAAACTATAATTTATTAAAAAAATAGTATTAACAATTACAGTATTTATTAATTAACAGTAATTAAATAATTATAGTATCTTATTCATTAACAATATTAACTGTACTTTTAATTAATACAGTATCTTTAATAATTATAGTATTAGTAATTAATTAAAAGTATTTATTGAGATTCTATATTTATTAATTAATAATATTTTTAATTAATATAGTACTTTTAATAATTGCAGTATTAATAATTAACCATATTTTACGGTATTTTCAATAATTATAGCATTATTAATTAACAATGTTTATTAAAATACTATATTTATTAAAAAATATTAATATTTTTATTAATTCATTAATTAACGGTTTTTTAAATTGTTAATTAATGTAAGTTATAATTTAAAGTGTATTCTAAATATTATTTAAATTATATTTGATATTGTAAGTAATATAATTAAATTTTAAACTTTAATTAATAGTAATTATATTTAAATTATTTATTTAAATATAATTTAAGCTATAAGTAGCAGAAAATTACATTTAATGAACAGAAATTAGCCAAGAAGATAACCAAAAATAAAGTACCAATAATTTTGTCATAATTACCAAAAATTATCCAAGAAATTATCAGAAATGGATTAACATGGTTTCCAATAAATATGACAAGTTACTAAAAATTAAAAAATATAACCATTAAAATTACTTTTTGAAAATATGTACTAATAATCAATAATCTTCAAGAAGTAAATGTAATTACTTCATATTATATTTAAAAAACATTTGTTTTTTCATATAAATTATGAATTTAATAATTTAAACAGTATAATCCTTGCCTATGATGATATTACTTCACATTGTTACAATGGAAAATAGAAAAAATGTTTTTACTATTATGTATTTCCATTATTTCACTTTCACTCAACAAAGTCCATGCATCACATGAGTCCCCGCTAGTTGAGATATATACACACACCGAGTAGGGTAGAAATTACCATCCTTCTCGTCGAACCAAGCCCTAGTTGTTGTTGCATCTCTCTCTATTCGGTCTTGACTCTTGAGCAAGGTTCAAAGTATACGGCTGATACGTATCGTTCTAGGATCCCTCCGATACTCCCCTATAGTGGGTGTATCGGGGTTTGACCGGTTCAGGGTGTGGAGGAGACTTAGACTGGCCCCCCTAAACCTGTTTCGAAATAAAAAACGTAAAAAAAAGGGTATTGATTCGCTTGATATGCCCATACCGATGTATCAATATTTTGAACCTTGCTCTTGAGAAAGAAGCCTCGGCCTCATTCATTAAGGCTATATATGGTTTGAAGGAAAAAGTAGGAAAAGGAAGGGAAAAGTAAGGGATATAGCTTAGGCCCAGGCTGAGGTTCCTGGCCTAAAACATAAGCCCTAGCGGGGCTAGGCTTGATTCTGGGCCAATGTCACCCATATATAAAACATTACATATCTATATATTAAATGACATAACATGTATATAAACTTATTTTATACATTATATAATATATAATATTAATATATAATATAAATTATACATGTCATGTTGTATGTTTATATATAAAAATATATAATATAATGTAAAATAACATGTATACATATATATACATTATACATAAAATATACAAGTTTAAATATATACGGGCCGGGCCAGGCCCAAACTGAGCTGAAATGATCACCCCTATAATCCTTTCCCTACTTTTTCCTTCAAACCAAACACAGCCTAAAGGGTAAACCATAAACACCGAAAGTAAAACCACTGGTGAGGCGGTGATGTATGGGACTAAAATGTCCTTTTTTATCTTTCTTTATTGTTTTCTTTCATATTATTTTAAACATGACCCGTGAACCGTTGTTAGGTCAAACGGTTCAGTGGTTCAACAGCATATCAGGAATATTTCTACTGTTTTCACTTCTAGGTTGTCTCTTGGTGGCCACTGGCCGTGGTGCTAGCATCTCTTTCTCACGGCTTTCATTTAGGGGCGAACCCTATTAATATGGATTCGCAACCCTGGATCTTCAATGGCCGATGATGCTGAAATGTTCTCTCTTCCCAGAAAGTTAAAAGGTGATCTGCGGTTGATATGAGCAGCAAATAAATTTATTTGTTCACCTCTTTGCTTGATTACCCATGCCTCCTGTCCGTTCCTCTCCGTGCAATGGCGAGAGACCCACAGAGGAATTCAATCCCCAACTAAACCATGTAAGTGAAAATTTCCTCTTTCATCCCCCCTCTGCAAAAGCACGTTATGGTTGTTTCTCTTATTATCTTTTTTCTTTCTGTTCCTATACTTCTTTCTCTTTGTAAAAATATCTATGCCTTCCGCTTGTATTCCAACTTCCCCTTCTTAAACAATTCCTGCAGCATGCTTTCTTCAACTACTCTCCTTCTTCAATTAATTAGAGATGATTAGGTTTTTAGAGTTTTTGATTGGTTTGAATACTTCGAGCTGCGTCGCGAACTAGGTTTGCTAATTCATAAGTCGTAACCACATACAAGATTAGCTAGGCCTTCACCTTAACCCAACTTAACCCGGCCCGAGTTGCACTCACCCTCTGTTTTCTGAGTTCACGTCGTACTTGTTTCTATATTTCATGCTTCTCTATCTGTATTTGGTTTAACTATCTTGTTTCAATGTGTCCTGTTTTGCTATAATTGTTTATCATTTGGTTTAACAATTAAGGTTTGTCAAAAAATAGTGGGCTTTCCTTCTCTTTGTCTCTCATCGGAATTGATAATCAGCCAAGGGAAAGAAAAGAAAAGAAAAAGGAAGCGAAGAACCCAAAACAAGCATCAAGGAAATAAAAGTAAACTAGCTTAATGATGATATAAATTAAGCAGCAATCATAACACCTGTACAATTATAGCAATCCTATGGGGCTCTTATATAGAGAACATGATTGTTGTTTAATGATGAAATGAAATTTAGTCATCACCACACCTGTACAAATTTAAGTCCTTGATATTTCCATTGTGCCTCCGTTAGTAATGTGAACTTTGTTTCCCATGTTATTTAGAATAGGCATCACTCCTTCCTGCAGTTGTAACACTTTTCTAAGTTTCTATCTCTCATGCCTCTAGGTTCATACCAGCCATTTCGTTCAATTTTGCATCCCAATAGATGTTATTTATGTGGATGTCTTGTATTTTAATGGCGAATTTTACACGATTTTATGGAATTCTCAGCATCTACAAAGATCTCTATCCAAACCACACTCTAAACCAAGTTGAAACACCAAGGTTCTGAATATTTATCCAGAATCTTAAACCTGAATATTTGTCCAGAATGGTTTTTCTCTTTGTTTATGCTGCAGCATTTTTTCTTGGCCAAAGAAAAGAGAAAGGATCATGTAGAGATGCACTAGGGCAACAATAAACTGGACAATTTTGTAAGAAAGAAATTAAAGGATCTTTTTGGAAAAGGAAAGAAGCAAGGAAGCGATAATTGAAACTATTATTGTTAGAATGGCCCATTGGCTGAAATCATTAGATACCTTCTCACAAGTATGAATGGATGATATGCTTAGAAATTAAAAGGAAGTGTCTGGTTCATCCATAAATAGGACTGATGTCACTTCTTTATGGTATCTGCCAGAAAGAGGATTTATCAAACTCAAGATTGATGGAAGAAGAATGGGGAATCTGGGAGTACTAGGAATATAGGGAGGGTTGTTTGGGGATGATGAGGGCAAAATAATGGCATTATATTCAGGCCCAGTTGGCACGTGGGATCCTTAAGGGCTGAAGTTATGGAAATGATGGAAGGAGTGCAAAGGGAAAGAATCTTTAATATAAGAAAGCTAATTATTGAGGGCATTTCTAGATTAGTAGTGGGCTGGTTACTAAGTGAAGAGGCAAAAATGTGGAATTACAGCAATGAGAGGAAGAAGTTCAGATGGTTGATAAAAGGTATATGGAAGTGAGGATATGGTGGGTTAAAAGAAGGTGGTAATTATTCATCAAAAAAAAAAAAAAAGAAGGTGCTAATTCCTCGGCTGATACATTAGCCAAACAAGGGGTGGGGAGAGATCATCTGTTTTGGGCACAATTGTAAGAAAAAGGAACTTATTTTGGGGAGAGATAAGAGAGTTTATCTCTCACTCTCTGTATTTCTTTCTTGTAATCACTATTTACACTTGTACTTTAATGAAATATTCAGTTATTGATCCAAAAGAAATCTTAAACCTTGAATACATATTCAATTCTTTCACTGATAAAAAAATCTTAGTCCAAGTGATTGGCTTAAGGCCCTTTGGCAGCATGTGATAGTTTTGTTTTACTGATTTTTGGTTTGTGTTAATGTTATGCACATAATTCAAGTTCAAGTGTTCAACAAATAATAGCAATTAATTTTTAATTAGATAGACCTGTTCGGGAGCCTGGGGTGGGAGCAAGTTAAAGTTGTTTTGTTGAAGTAATGTAAAAGTGCTTTTAGATAGATCCTTTCAATTAGTATTTGTAGAAGGTGCAGAGCTCATTGTCACCAACCACATCTTCTATTTAGGAGAAGAGTTCCCTTCTTGATTTCCTGAAAACTATAATTAATAATTGGAAAATGAAGGTTGCTAGTACCAATGTTTCAAAACCTATATATATTTAGTTCCTTCCTTAAGATGCCCAGATGTGGATATGAATACAGACACTGACATGGAAGTGGAGCATTCACTCTGTTCTTGGGATCCAGACACATATTGGTGGGAGTATCCCATATTGGTATACGTAAATGTCATTTCTTAAAAATTATCTTGTTAAATTTGATAAAGCTTCTGGCAGTTACAAGCTTTTCAAGCATCTTGAGAAATGATATTTAGCTCCAAAAATGAAAAAGTTCGCAGATGTTAAAGTGTTTCTACTACAATGTACTTTGGTTGTATAACTTAATGCTAAGAGGTTCTATGTTAAAAGTGTTTGTGCAGTTTCTGGTGTTGCATTAGGTATGTATTGTATCAGAGACAGGTAAGCTAAGCATCTATAGGTGTTTGGGTATGATAACCTGCAACACATCTTTTGTTTTGGAAATTTATATTGCATTTTCACCAAGAATTTTAGTGTGTGCTTATCGTGAATATTTAATATCTTACCTTTTCTTAATATGGCATGTCCATTTTTGGAAGATATACTTCTTATGATTAAGAGTTATATATCTTCCTGCAGAGTTTGGATTTTAATACACATAAATCAAGGGATCATGGTGAGGCTTGTCAACAAGAAGTTAGATATGGTGCACGTGATGTCAGTTTTATTATCAAGAGCTATAGTGGGCTTCTCAAGGGAACTTCCTTGCCAACTATTGAGATGATAGACAACATATACAAGATGAATTGCTCTATAATACATGGAAATATCTCACCACAAACTGTATGTCATTCTAACTGCAGATTTATTTGCCAGTTCCAATTAATTTCATTTAAAGGTGTTCATTAATATACTAAATGACAATACCTGAATAATAAATTGGTTATTTGATAAGGGACATTGCAGGTGAGCATTCTTAATTTGCATTGAGGATTGTTTCCTTTTTGAGAGCAGCAGTGCTTAGTTACTGCCTCTGTTTCAAGTTATTGTTAAGTAAGCAGGATGCAGGAGGTCTATTCTAGGAGATCTGGACTCACAATTTGAAAAGCGTCATCTGGGAGACTTATTGGGAACAAATTGGTTTCATAGATAATAAGTTAATCACTCTGTTTGGACAAGTCAGCTAGTACCAGTGAAAAGTTTAAAAGTTTTGAGAACCCAACATATTGTGAAAACCCTGAAGAATTGAGTATTTCAGGAAAAAAAATGTACTGCGATGGGTGGGCCTATTAATTAACTGGAGGGACTGTACCGTATGAAGGTGATAAGATCTAACTGGGGGAGGGGGGGGGGGGCAGAAGAGCATTGGTAGTTCTCCTTAGGGTAGTGACCTGAGATAAAATTAACCACCTCACTATCTCTTGTTTCCCAATTTTAATATTATTGTTTCAATTTATTTATTATATTTAAGATAATTCTCTTTTGCATCTTGTTGATATTAATGGAATGGAATATGTGCAAAATCTGACACAAATGCAAGGGGCAGAATCTATAATTCCACAAGTCAGGTTTTGATATCTCCCGTGCTTCAAGTTAACTTTGTTGGACCTGTAGAATCTAAGCATCCTTAATACTTGTGCATTTATTCAATGTTACAAGGTTTATTGGTGTAAAGTCCTATTGAGAATTCCATTGTATATATAGTGACAGTTCTCCTGGAGATTATTAGTTCTTTCTTTGATTATTATGTTGATGGTTGTGTGACATTTTACAGGAAAACAACCCTGGAGCAAGTCAAGGACCACCAACATCAGAGACCAATAATTCGTGTGTACTAATGCCATCTTCAAGTTCAACTTTGGCTAAACCTCTAGACTGTAGCAACACCAAAGAAGTCCATCTAATGGAACAGCCTCTCTTGATGATAGGTGACAAGGAGCTATTAGCACTAAACAGAGGCAATGCCATGTTACGTTACAAGGAGAAAAAGAGAACTCGGAGGCATTATCTGCTCCTTTCATTTTGTTTTTGGCATTTAGTTTTCAATATAGGACCTTGGGTTTAAATTTATTCCAGAAAAATGATATTGAACATATGAACAGGTATGATAAGCACATCAAGTATGAGTCCAGGAAGATGAAGGCTGATGCTCGGAAGCGTGTGATGGGTCGGTTTGCTCGTGAAGCTTCAGATGTTGATACCAACAGTTGATGGATTTAATGTTTACCTATTTTCATTCGGGAGGGCATTCCCCTGTTAATCTATGATTTAACACCACTGGTCTACTGGCATCAGGCGGATCCATCTTGATGAAGGTTGAATTCAGTTCCACTGGCCGGCACCTTTTAGCACCATGTAAAACTCAATTGTTGTGCCAACCATGTACTAAAGTTTCGAGCAAATCTCCACTCTTTAGCTTGTTTCCAATTCCAATGTAGTGCAAAAGGGTCCAGTGTTATTAACTGAGATGAGGCCCGGTTGGACCATGTACCCAAAATACTAATAGCATGTTTGACTTCAGCCTGTCCACTTATGAACACATGTACCCAAAATACTATTAGCTAGCCGATCCAATAAGCTCAGATTATTTTACTTGAATTCTAATCCAATTGTGACATTTTTTTGGGTACCAATTTATGACCCTATTGCCCCAATAAGAATAGATTGAATGAAAACATCTGCATGTATCACTCTAAACAGGGTGATGTGCGGCTGAGCCTATCAAGCGTCACTGCGTCCGTCCTTTTGTTCTTTTTATCTGGAGTAACCCTCCGATATTAATTGATTAATAACTCCGTGTATGGGTTGTTGTATACAAAACCATGTGATTGAAGTGGATCAATATTCAGATCAAATGATCTAAAGAAATAATTAAATAAATAAAATAAAAGATAGATCGGTTAGTAATGTGTACCCTGACATTGATTTTAATAAAGAAAGTAAAGTAATCAGCTGGCGATGGTGGATGATGAATTGGGGGGGCATTACCGCATTAGATTTAGATTATACAATAGAGGGATTATTGTTACAAAGAACATAAACCAAAAGGGGGTATAAAATCTCAACTTGGAACTTGAAGTCAACCGATCGGGGTTTGTGCGTGGAAGTTGGAACCCTATCCCTGTAGTTACAAGAAAGATGGGGTGATTGGGGTTGGGGGACCATTATTCACTTTTGGGCTTTTCTTATAAAGACTAGGGACCATAATCCCTTCCTTTCGGTTTCAGGTGCCACCGTGCCGGACTGCAGTTTACATGCTGGGCTTGCTTTATCCCATTCATTTTCCCCTTTACAATTACATGCTGCCCGTGGGCCACCATGGCCCAGCATGACTCGGTCCATGGTGCGGCTTGCCCTAAATCCGCTGTGTTGAATTGGGTTTGGGTTTTGAGACCCGCGGCCGCGGGTCAACACGGTGAGGCACAAAAAAGTGGGCTGTGAGCACATGGCATTTATGTTGGTTCGGCACAGCCCGAATGGCGTTCCAACACGGTCCACATATATTAATATATATTTAATAATATCCACAATTCCATATATATTAATATTATATATATATATATATTTATATATTTAATAATATGTATATGAATTTTTTAATTTTATCATATTATTTTATTCCAATTTTATTTTATTATTTCATATATAAATAACTATATACATCAAGATTCATTTAAAAAAGTTTAACATTTTTTTCGATATCTTGTTAATTTATTATTATTATTTAAATTTTCTAAAAAAATCGTGCCGCCCACAATCCGGCTCAGGCCCACCTGGGCTCGTGCCACAATCCGGCTCAGGCCCACCTGGGCTCGTGCCACGGGCCGTGTCCAGGCCCACTTACACACCTTTAAAATAGACCTGTTCATGGGCCGGGCCGGGCCGGGCTCGGGCCGGGCTTTTACTGTGTATTAACAAATTTTTTTAAGGCCCGAGCCCGAGCCCGGCCCAACCATCGGGCCTACAATTTGGGCCCGAGCCCGGCCCTCATAAAAAGCCCGAAGCCCGAGCCTGGGCCCGGCCCGAAATTTAGCCTATATTATTATTATTATTAATGTTGAAGCAGCTGAATAAAGAGAGAGATAGATTGAAATTATAAAGAAAAGAATAATATATATATATATATTAAATTATAAATATATATTTTAATAAATATTATATTATTTATATCTTATATAATATATAAAATACATATTATATATTGAGTCGTGCCGGGCCGAGCTCGGGCCGGGCTCTTTTGACAAATCCCGAGCCCAGCCCGAAACACAGTCGGACTTACTGTGTTAAGCCCGAGGTCAGGCCCGCGGGCCTAATTATATGACCAAGCCCGGCCGGGGTGCGGGCCGGGCCGTCGGGCTACCCGGCCCATGAACATAAAAGTGCTCCGCTTGGAACTTGGAACAATTCTCCCCATCCGTCATTTATATATCAACTAACAACCATCAATGTGTAATACGTTTTTTTGGATGAGCTGAATGGTCAGCGTCTTTACGTGAGATGTATTTGGACGCACCGAATCAGATCTTTTTTTTCGCTAAAGCGAATGAGAGAGATCTATTGGTGGTCACTTGATCTTGGGACTTGATTATGACTATGAGAGTAATAAAGCCAGCCATCTTCGACGAGGCTCGGTGCTCCTACCCAGTTCATGTTTCCTCTCCTACGTAAACGCCATGTGAAAGCTTCTCGAGTCGTGAGCTCCGCACACCCAGATGGCCAGATTCTCTCCTCTCTCTCTCTCTCTCTCTCTCTCTCACACACACACAGTGGAGAAATCTATAACATCTACATTGAATCTCCGAAGCTTCTCTCCTCTCTACCTCCTCTCTCCTTTCGACAACCAGTAAGTTGTGCTAAATTTGTTCTTTGTTATCCTATCCCATTTGCTCCTCAATTTCTCCCTTTCTTAGGTTTACTATTCTTAAATTCGAATATTTGACCTTCTCTTTTTCTCCTCTTTTCATCTGTACCTCCTTCTTGTATTTATTCTTGTGATAAAACCTCCATTTTTCTATATACAGAAGATGAATTGCTAGTCATTGTTTGGTGGGCTGGTGTAGGATGCTCTGTTGGAAACATCTTTCCGTCAAGGAGGAGGATGGGATGCACTTCTTCTTCGTCCATCTCTTCCAAAATGTACACTACAGTTGGGAGGAAGAAGAAGAAGGTGAACATCCCAGAATTCACCGTCTTCGTCCCTCCTTTGCGCGTTCCTGTGGAATCGGATTTCCAACTGCCTCTCAAAGGGATTCTTCCTCGACAACTCGTCGATAGACTCTCGACACACCGCGGTCGGATTGTGTCGCTTGCAGAGGATATTGGTATAGACTTTACATGTTCGTTAAGCATGTATTAGTTAACGTACTCGTTCTATAAAGAGAAAAAGAAGAAGCTTTTCTTGTTCTTGTTCTTGCAGGTGGTCCTGCTCTTACTGAATTAAAGCGAGCTCTGGATGACTACTTGCCTGTTCTTCTTGGCTTGACAAAAGCAGGTCTCAAGATTCATCCTCTCATCTTTTTTCGGGTAATGTGTATCTATCAATCATACAAAATTTGTGCTAAATTTAATAGAATCACAGAATATGGGCTAGAAGAGTTGGTCGATTTCAAGTGGAAAATTCTACAAGATCGAAGACAAGTAAGCGTTTCCATCGTATCATTTCAACAAGATTTTTAATTGTTTTTACCACATGTGGTTAATAGAATCTCAAATTCAATGACCAGGAAGCCTTCTGCTTGGAAAACTCTTGGTTTGAAGTGCTCTCTATCATCCATATGTTAGCTGTTCTATCGCTATCAGAGGCTAATTCCTTGCTTATTCCTAAAGATCACATGGATACTTGTGAAAGGAATGTGTCAGAAGGTCTTTGTCTTTACTGGCATTCTGTGCTTTTGTTATCTATACTGTTCAATCTGTTTCTTTCTCGAGCAAAAAGCTGGACTCGCGCGATGTCCTAACCTTTCAGTGTTGGGCTCTGATTTCTCATCAACAACGAACAGAGTACAAGAAGGATGCTATTGATTTATTGCTGAAGGCATCGGGGTACTTGGAATTATGTAATCGGGAGATTTTAACTCGCCTACCATTTGAAATCAAGTATTAAAACAATGAAATTTCTTGTTCTATTTAGTATTTGGCTATAAATTTCCTTGTCTTTAGTGTAATTAAAAATTATATTTTCCAGGAACAGGTTACCAGTAGATCTGCAGAGTGGTGCTTTGGAGGCTATGTTCATCCAGGCATTAGGCCAGGTGCTTTTTTATGACTTTCTGTCTTTGAAGTAGGTTTTCCATTTGGATTGTTAGTTGTACATGGACTGTAGATGTTGGTTGAAGCATTCAGGGTCTCAAGAAACAAGTTCTTAATGCAGAATTTGTCAAAGCCAGGGGTGGAGCCAGGATTTTTTCTTAGGGGAGACCAAATGCTAATAAACATGGGGGGGCATGGCTCCCCTTCTGCCACCCCCTGGCTCCGCCCCTGGTCATCGCCAAAGTGTTATATCTACTGAAGCCTTCTTGGGCTAGGTATTTTTATGACATAATATCTCCCTGTTACCTGGCTAACCAAAAAGAAAAGAAAATGAGATCTTCCTATGATATCTTCCATAACCCATCCCCCTTTCCCTCAACTTTTTTGTTTCTTATTTTCTATCTAACCAAACATAGCCTTAACATCTCACTCAGATTTCTTGTGGACATTGATACTCATTTTACATAAACTTCAGGTAACTGAAATGCAACTAGGGATAGCTGTGGAAAGTCAAAAGGCTACTTTGTCTGTAAAGAGGAGGTTGGCATGTGAACAACTAAATTATTTTGCTCAGGTTGGCATTTCTATGAAGAGCTTCACCCTTTTAGAATGAAGAAAGATGATCATTATCATATTTTTGTGTAATGCTTTTTCTTCTGGAATTCCTTAAATGTATTACTTATTGAGTTTTTTTAGCTGGTATGGATTGAGAAATTATTGATTTAGGTACTCAGCAGAAGGATGTTTATTAAACATGAATGGAATATCAGCTGTGGGTTTCATTATTATTGTTGTGAGTCTTACAAAAAGAACTGTTTTAATGACTATATATTTCCTTTAAAGCAGCTGGAAATTTTACCTAGAATTTCTTTTAGGAAATAACATCTTGTTCTTTTTTCTTGAAATTAAACTAATCACCTTTTTTATGGCTTGACTTTCTTATGACAGCCATGATGCCACTATTATTAATCTTCTGCATATATACATTGTACTTTCACATGGATACATCTTTATTTGAATATACTGGCTGAAGAGACCACTAAATCGATTATGGTCCACTGGATTTGGTTAGATATTGAAAAATCAAAAAACATATAAAGAATATGTCATGGTCCTATCTGAGGAAAGAACACGGAATGAAAAGATTAATATGAATAAGAAACAATATATCGAGAAGGATTTGTGGAAAGAACAGAATCAGAATCAGGCATGACAAAAGGAAAATATTGGGTGGAGGGAATTTTACTGAATTAACCAACTCTGGAGATGAGTTCTCCCAAGGGCTGTTTGGATGCCTCTAGTGAATTAACCAACTCTGATGGATAGCATAGAGTTGGAGATGAGTTCTCCCAAGGGCTGTTTTGATGCCTCTAGTGAATTAACCAACTCTGATGGATAGCATATGAAAATTTGCAATGGGCATGTTTTCTGGATGTTGCAGTTAGTCTGATATGTGTCTAGCATGCAGTATCTGATTGCCAGATTTCAGGAAGTGGTTTAGTTGGATTATGACTTGGTCAATGGCCCCTCCATGGTGATGGGCTCCTGAGCGGTGGATGCTCTTGCCCTGTGACATGATAATGGAATTTTGATCAAATGAGTGGAGTTTTCTAGTCACATATGCACCTATCCATCTCCTTCATCAAAGGTTAACCTTTTTGAAAGGCCTGGCTTATTGTTCATCGAAAACATTTTATTATTATTATTATTATTTTTTTATGATCAAATGGTGGAATCATTTTTGGTGTTGTAAGGCATGCCTGAATTGGTGGTGTTCCTTGCAAGCCAAATTTGGGAGTTGCTTTCTAGTTCCTTGAACATTATCCATGGAAAATTAGACTCTTAGGCTATGTTTGGTTTAAAGGAAAAGGTAGGGAAAGGAAGGGAAAGGTTGGAAAACCTATACAAGGTTTGTAAAGGTTTCCCTACTTTTCCCTTCAAACCAAACACAGCTTTAGAGAAAGAGTACATGCTCGTCTCTTAAGCTGCCATCTATAATGATAATTCCTCTATCTGATCTTATTGGTTCAATTTTGCTGTCTCATTTACATTGGTCAGGCTCATAACAGCTTGTCTGAATGTAATATCACTCATGGATACGGAAAGAAGCATCTCTTGTTCATCAAATGGAAATACCTGGAAGCAAAGGTTATAAAATCTACCTCTGGTTCAGATCATTTTATTATTATTTTTTCATTTAGTGAACTTCATTTTACATATTCTCATTCTCTCTTGGTATCATCATTAGGCAGCAGCTTACTACTACCATGGCCTGATACTTGACAAAGGTAGTGAGCCATCTTGTCACATTAGTGCTGTTTATTGTTTCCTTGCTGCAGAGGAACTTCTAGCTGATAGCAAGAAGGCCTGCATAACATTCTCCATAGCAGCACCAGTAACCAGGTTATCTTCAGTTCCTTTTTATTTCTATGTATGGTAAAACATTGGGATACGTATATTTGTTTCAGTGGAAAACTTTTGTGTTTGTTCAGGGCCTCTCCAGTTTGGGGTGTAATGAAGCATTTGCATCAGAAAATTCCTGAGGTTGCATCGAGGAAGTCTCAGATGTATGGTTACCTCTTAGACCAAGAAAAGTAAGGGTCTTCTGCTTTGCTTCTTTCCTTGTTAACCCAGAATTATTTGGCTTCCTTTTACAGAAGATGATTTCCCCAAAGAAAGGGAAATTACAGTTAGGTTATTTCTTATTTTATTTCTTCTTTTCTGATTGTATAGGGCTCTCCAAACATTGCCTGACCTTCCTGATTTTGCATTGTCCTTGAGACCCGATGACTACAAGTTGCCAGAAATTGATCTCGCATGGGATAGTGACAAATGGGAAACCCAGGTTCAGACCCTCAAGGAGCATCTCAAAGATGTGGAAGATGAGACGGAATCTGAATGACCCTGAATAGTGAATTCTTTTTTTGTCTTTCTAGAGAATGTATACTACCTGTTTTTAATTTCGTTAGATTTTGAAAATCAAGCACAACCTGTGAACCAAATGCTTTATAAATTTAACAGATTTTATTTATTTGTCCCTTTTCTCAGTGATTGATAAATTTATTAGTTTAATTGGTCCCATTGTTGGAAACTTGGTTGAGTTGCAAACAGAATGTAATCTCTAATCATAATTCTGATAGCAGCTTAGCTGAAGGTTGATCCTTTTTATTTCTGCCAAGTAAAATGGTTACTCATTAGATCACTATTAAGGCTTATTATCCCAAATAGTTGGGGTAGCTTTGTTGAAGGGAATTACTATTAATCGAGCAATGCATTGCCATTAGCCACAGACAAAGTCCTTTTGGGCTTTTGCGCAAAAGCTGTGAACCAGTTACCAGATGATCCGCTTAACTATCAATTTGCCAAAAAGTCCACTCGACCTTAGGATTTGGTGTTAGGTGGGCCCAAGAGATGAATTATGGGTAACATGGATCATTGGGCCTTGCCACGTTTTAATCTTGGTGAAGTTATGCTTTTGTCTATTGTATTCTCCCTCCTACCTTGTTATTGCCTGTTTGTCCCGCGGTCCGCCACGATCCTTTGCTAGGCTGCTCTATCTTTGCTCTGTGAGGTATAAACCATTGACTTCTGATGATGATACTCGGAATCTGCTGCTGACATTAGTGAGCTACGTAACCCGAACACGAGCAGCAGATCCGGACCCGACTTCTCACACCGATTAAACTTGAGTTGAGTGGTGGTTTTGTCCTTGCCATTTTTTAGGATCAGTTCCAAGGTTTATCCATAGAACATGGAACCTGTTTCTTTACCTCTCAACCCCCCACCACCAAAAATAAACCTAGAAATTGATTCCATTCAGTTTTAGGTAGAACTTATCCATTTGCTCACCCCTAGCAATATTTAATGCTGGAATGGTTTATCCAAAGAACTGAGAAGTTGTTGCTTTATCTACTGGTGAAACTAGATAAAGCTCAATATTTTGGAAGAGGTGCACTTAGGGCTACGTTTTCTCAAACCTAGACCAACAAGAAGCGTAAAGCTCAATTCTAACAGTACCCTAATTATCTTCAATCTTTTCGAGATTTTCAATCCTAAACCCAACCCGTCTAGAGACTGGGTTGTGCTTAGAGGTAGGGGTGAGCAAATGGGTAGGTTTTACCCCGAACCAAATGGAACTGACTTTCAATCAGTCTTGAACTGATCTTACCCAATTTGTTATATGGTAGGGTCTGGTTCTAAATTCTTGGAACCAACCTCCAGTCAGGCCAGTTCTTGGGCCTAGGGGTTTACCCTATCCGAACCGACCCAATGAACCAACCTTGGTGGAACCTGCCTTAGAACCAAACTTGCCTTGAAATAAACCCCAAAATAGTTTTAGTGATGTGAAGATTTAAACCCAACCACTCTTGGTTACAAACGCCAGTCTCACTTGAACATTTAGTTATTTGAGTTATTTGATCATTTGTTTTTATTTTAATATACGAATGTGTACAATAAGTAATGTAAAAAGGTAATATTTACAAAATTTAAATTTAAATTATAAGTTTTGAACTATATAAGGATAATCTACATATTAATTGAGTTACGCAATTTAATCAATAAAGATAATATAAGTTTTAAAGTATATATTATATTTATTGAATATTCCATGGATAAACCCTGGAACCGACCTGGAACCACCAAGGCCAGAACCAATCCTAGAATCTACTTTCACAGGATAAATTTCGGTTCCAAAAATCTGAAACCAACTCTTACAGGGTAAATTTCAAGTTCTGCCGTGAAACCAAACTGAGCCAACCCATTCACCCCTACTTAGGGTGCAACTTGGGTGAATTGGGTTGGATTGAAGGTCAACCCAGGCCCAATCCCAGAGATGCAAACACAAGGCTCAGGCCCGGCCAAATCCAACCATATTTTGATACTACCAACCTAGCCCGAGGTTTGTTTCTTAGTGAGGCTTGGGCAGGTCGGTTTGAGTTGAAAAAACTTGTTAATATATTTTGTACAGTAATGCTTTATTGGGCCAGTTTGTGAATTGATTGAAAATATGCATTGACGTCATTAATAAAAGTATATATTTTATTCGGAAACCTCAAATTGGGCTATCTGAGACCTCAATCTAATTCCCAAACCGAATTTTAGGTCCTAGGCCCAGTCCGAAGTCCAATAATTCAGGCCCAAAGCATGCAAAACCTCGGGTTGGGCCAAAATTGTGCTTGTGCATGTAAATATTTGAGAGGACTCCACCTGTGTAGGCGAGCTATTGACAGTTGAACATATCATATCAATTAGTGAAGTGATTTAATTAATTAATTAGCGGGGACTCGTGCAGTGCACGGGATTTATTAAGCGAAAGTTAAATAATAGAAATGGTCATTTACTAAAATATCCCTTATAGTTTCATAGATTTACTTAAATTTATCCTATATTTAGCATTTTACTAAAACACCATTTATAATTTGCAATAGGTTTAATCAATCTTCCATTAGGTGATAGTGGAAAATGACAATGTTGACCCTAATGTTCATTTAAATAAATTTAATAAAAAAAATAAAAATAAAAATATCATTTTTGCCCTTAATAAGACATGGGCAACCACTATATTGGCTATATTTGGTCAATTTTGTTTTATATACAAAAATGTGTTAAGGGTATTTTTGGAATAAAAAATCATGGGCCTAATGGAAAAATAAACACTCCTTAATGAAAGGTTGATTAAGTAAATAAGTTGTAAAATATATGGGATATTTTAGTAAAATGAAAACTATAAGGTAGGTTTAAGTAAATATGTAAAACTATAAGGTGTGTAGGAATGGCAATGGGGCGGGATCGTATTCCCGGTCGGGGATGGGGAAATTTCCATCCCTAAAGGTGTGTTCTAGTAAATGAACCTAATATAAACACATAAGAGTATACAATTGTTTTATATTTTCAATTTTTTAAATAATTAATAATTATTCATATTTTATATACTACTTTTAATAAAATTTTTATAATTCAAAAATAACAATAATTAATTTTAGTTATGTTTATTCATCAAATTAATGAAACCGACCAACCCAATTAACTCGACCCAAGTTGGTCAGTTTTCTAGTATTTTAGGTTGGCTTTGGTTCAAAAATTTTCCAATTTGACCAAGTTAGATTAGTTTTACTTTGGTCATTTGTAAACCGGCCAAAATCAAATGACTTAACCATGGATATATATTAATATTTTATATTTTAAATATAATTTTTAATATGGAAAAGTGGGAAATTTCCCATATTTCTTAGTCTAAAATGTTTTATATCATAAATCTATTTTTTTAATTTATTTTTTTAATAATTACACTAATTTTTAAAATTTAATTTAATTTTTAAGTTTAAATCTTTTGAACCGACTGACCAAACCAAAAAATCGACCCAAACCTATACAACTTGAGTGGGTCGGTTTTCACAAAAGGTTAGTCAATTTCATTTGACCAACTCCCTAACCTTACCAGGTCAATTTGGTTAGATAAATAGCCTATGATCGAATCGAACCAATACATGAATACTCATAATTTCAACTAAATTAATAGTGTCATATTTGACAAATAACAATAGTTTAATCTCTAATAATAATTGAAATTTTATAGCAGAAATATACAATTATTGAAAATATATTGATAATGAAAAATCTAATAATTATAGAAATTACAAAAATACAATAAGTACTAAACATATATTAACTTAGTCAATAAATAGTTTAATCTCTAATAAATATTATTCAATAAGCTATAACAAAAATACAATAAGTACAATAAATTAAATTTAAAATTTCAATAATAGTAGTTTAATCTCCAATAATTATTGATTTTTTTAAATAAAAAACAAAATAAATCTATACATAATCATTGAAAATACATTTATCACAAATAACAATAAATAATTACTGAAATACAATAAATATTAATTTTAGAATACATGAATTATATAATAAATACAGATTAAGAGTTTAAAATTATTATTAATAAATATAAAATTTTTTGAAAGTTATTTTCTTGAATTATTACTTAATATAAGTGAAATTAGTTATTTACAATATTACACAAAAATATTAAATTATTATTAATTTCAATATTATGTTATAATTATTTTTCTATTTTTCAATTTTTTTTTAATTTATTACATAATTTCTTTATTTTAGCTATTTAAAATCAGGTTATGTTAAATATTTTTTTATTTAAAATATGTAGTAATTTGAAGACATAAATAATATGTAAAATATTTAAGTTTTAAAATATTAATTATTTTTGAATTTAATTATCCATAAAATCATAATTTGTACTATTATTACATAATTTCATCATTAAATTTGTAATATATTACATTATTATTAATTTCAATATTATGTTATAATTATTTTTCCACTTTGAAGAAATTTTTTAAATTTATTACATCATTTTGTTATTTTCACTATTTACAATCTAGTTATGATAAATATTTATTTATTTAAATATTTAAATAATCTATAAAATATTTAATTTTTTCTGTTATTTGAATTTTATTTATTTAAAGCTTTTACATATTTTTAAATATTTGAAAAACATTTAAATTGACAATCCAGAAAAACATAATTTAAATTGTCTGTACATAATTTTGTGATATATTTTATAAAAATATAAAATTATTTTTTGTGTTTTTAATAAATATCTTGAAGTTATTGTATAATTTTGTTAGAATATTTAAATAATTCTTTAAATTTTTAATCAAAGCTTTCTTTAAATAGATATAGACAAAAAGTAGGGTAGAGGATAAATAGGAATTAGAGATAATTTAGGAGAGAAACTCTCTACTAAATTAGAGAACATTTTGGAGATTAATAGGAATTAGAGATAATTTAGAAGATAAATAGGAACTAGAGATAATTTTGGAGAAAGTGGGGGATAGTGGGGGAGGTAGTTTAGGAGAACTTTTAGGAGAAGAGATTATTTAGGTTATTGGGAAAGTGTTTCTCATTGGTCATTTCAAAAATGACATGGAATTAAGAAAATAAAAAAATGAGAAAAATTCTAGACTTCCTTGTTTTAATATATATATATATATATATAT